AATACTTCTCTAAATGTTTGCAATAGTGTTGGATAATTTGACCTCTCCAGCTGTTAAACCTGGTTCCTCAAGAGGGACTTGCTGCCGTGACTCTTGCACAACATCTTCCTTAATTATTGATTTACTTGGCACATTTGTAGACACAACTGGTCCCGAATTATTGGATGATTCAGGACAAATCTGATCAGGCTGAAGTGTGTCGTGCTTAGGGTCTCCCCATGGAGATGATTTGAGTGAGTTTTGTGTAGAGTTGTCCAGGAGTCTAAAAAGTCTTTGGAAGCTCATTTTCTTGGAATTCCCCGAAAGCTGGGTCTGTTCTTTCCTTTTACCATTTTTATAAATATTTTTACTCTTGCCAGTTCACTGTTGGTGCTTCTTAAAACTCTTTCCCTTACTACAGTTCATGCTGGGTCTGTTCTTTCCTTTTTCTATTTTTAGAAAATTTTTTACTCTTGCCAGTTCACTGTTGGCGCTTCTTAAAACTCTTTCCCTTACTACAGTTGATCTTTTTGTGACTCCCTTTATCGTGAAGTTTCATTCTTATTTATGCAGTGTGGTCCTCCATCCCTCAAGCATATCTCAGCCATTGTGCTTAGCACCCTTGGCACCCTGACAGGAATTGTTTTATTGCCTCCAATTCCGTGGATATTAAACTACTACTTTTCATAAACAATTTTTCTCTTGGGGCTTCCAATCCCTCTGCAGCAGCCTCTGCTCCCTTTTCTGAGATAGGGCTGAAGGCAGCCTTTGCTCTCTCATTAATTTAATCTCCCACTGCCATAGAGTTAGACTGTGCATTTTTGGGTTTCTGTGTGGGATTATATCAGGTTTGACTTTTCTTCTCTGGTTTTTTGTTGCTCCAATGCAAACCAATGAACATGTGAGTACCAAAACATTTGCAACTGCAACAATTTTCTGAGAGAAAGGTTGCATTTTCTGACAGAATTACAAAAGTGCCAATATTTTTGGCCATGACTGTACTTTTTCTACACCACTGTCCTTACTTAATAGAATGAATCCCTAATATAGCAACCTTTCCTCGATTTTGCTAAAGACCATTTTCTGTGGGAGAACAGAATATATATGCGAGTTCTTCCTCACTGTATTTCATCTTCAGCAAAGTTTTTCCATTATTTAAATAACAACTAACATATCTGTTTTAACAGGAATAAATGTGTGAAAAGAAAACTGCATTCATAAAAGCAATGCAATCCCTCTTTAAAGTTAGTTTCATTCATGTTTTACTACTATCTGTCCCCAGCCTTTAAGGTCTGTTGCTCGATGCTGCTAGACTGAAACGGCATGTTCTAAGTGCACAAAACCAGCACAGTACAGAGCAATATCTCGAACATTCAGTTCCCAGGTGACATGTAATAAGCCACCTAGAGTGGTCTTTTAGA